CGACCCCCGCGCCCAGCTCTGCCGGGGGCCGTCACTTTTCCGGAGTCCCCCCCCCCCTCCCAGGAAATTCTATTTGGAATAATTTACAAAGGAGTCCCCACCCCCGAGAACAAAAATCCTGCGAGTGCGAGACAGCGGCGGCTGCAGTCCTGAGCAAGAGTCAATGGACTCGCCCTGCACTTACTTCCGAGTAGACCTGCCCACCTGCCTTCCTTCTTGGGCTCCGACGAGAAGCCCCTTCCGTTTCAGCGCCGATATAAGCGGGGCAAAGCTGCGTCCCCGGGCACGCCTACTCGCGAGTAAGCCCCCCTCGGCACGCCACGGTGACCGACTCCCGACTGAGCCTGTTTAGGCTGGCAGGTTAACCTGTCTCCGCTTCCCCGGGTTCATTTCCCTCGCGATCCGACTTTGTGCGCCCGCCAGCTCCTTGATCGATTTTTTCCCCCTGCACGTGTGTGCGTGTGAACATACCCTTTCCAAAGCCGCAAAAAAGGCGCCATAATTTATTTCCGTGAACCTACCTGTGCACCTGTGCACCTGATTTCAGGTGCACCCCTTACCTTTCCGCCTACCTTTGTTTTTTTAAAAAAGTTAACTGCCTGAAACCTTGCGCGCGTTTTCCTTGCCTATCCCGCGTGCTGAATTCCCCAACATGCCGCCTACTTCTTGAACAGTTTTAAAACTGTGACGTGCCCCCCCTCCAATTCAATACGATGGGGGAGGGAAGAGAGAGTGGATGAGAGATCTTGGAAGATTCTTGCCAGGATGGTAAAATTCTCTCTCTCTCCCCCCCCGACTCGGGAATTCGGATCGCGAATGGCCGGATAAACAAATTGCATTTTTGAAAGTCGCTTCCTGCACATGCCTTAAGGCTCTTCCTCCGTGCTGTGTTCTGACATACACACACCCCGGATTGTGGCTCTCCCTGGATCCTCGTGGGATCCCCCACCTTGGTTTTATCCGGAAAGAAGTTCTGCCGATCCCTGAGGCTCTTGAGCAGAGAAGGCGCGCGCCCGAAGCGACTTTATCCGGAGTCAAGTCGGGTCAAGCTCGCTTGCGGCTCCCGGGGCTCGGCTTGCAGGTCCTTCACACTCCCCCAGTACCCGGGACACAGTGGAGACCGAACCCGGGACCTTCGGCATGCAGCTCAGGGACCCGACGCTCCCTCTAAGCTGTGGAGTCTTGTGAGCAAAAATTCCACTTTGTGAGCTGCCGGCATTCAAGTTGAGAGCCTGCGATTCGACGACTACATAAAGTAGTTTGCTCTGGAAGCCCTCCTTCCTGGGCTAAGACAGAAAGGCGTGTAAGGTAAAGGAAAAGGTTTCCCTTGCTCGAAAGCCAGTCGAGTCCGACTCGAGGGTTCCGGTGCTCGTCTCCGTTTCCAAGCCGAAGAGCCAGCGCTGTCCGAAGACGTTTCCGTGGCCATGTGGCCGGCATGACTAAACACCGAGGCGCACGGAACGCTGTTGCCTTCCCACCGAAGCGGTACCTATTTATCTCCTTGCAATTTCTTGCTTTCGAACTGCTAGGTTGGCAAGAGCTGGAACTAGAGACGGGAGCTCACTCCTTCATGCGGCACCCGGGTCTCGAACTGCTGAACTACCTGTGAGCTAGCTAGCTCACACTCACTCAGCTTAGAGGGAACAATGCGGGGACCCCCCCCTTCCTCTTCCCCCCCCCCCCCAATTCTCTCTGCTTCTTCCTTTCCCTTTTCACCTTCTCTCTCTTTCCCCCCCTCCCCAGTTCTTCGTCTCGGCCGCTTCCACCACGACCTGCTGCGACTCCGCGTCCCGGGCCGCCTCGGATGTTTCCTCCGGCTCTTCCCAGCCCGCCGCCCTGCGCTGCCCCTCGTACGAGAACCGCCTGCTGGCCGGATCCAGGACGGACCTCAATGCCGCTCTGGGCATGTACGGCTCGCCCTACGCCGCTGCGGCCGCCGCCAGCCAGGGCTACGCCAACTACCTGCCTTACAACGCCGACCCGTCCGCCCTCTACACCACGCTGGTGAGTGCCTGCCCGCCTGGAAGCGGGTCGAGGGGGGAGAAGGCGCTAGTCCTTAGTGATCCAGTCTGGGAGGGGGGGGGGCTTGAAGCCTCCCCTCCAACCAGGGCTTGGGAGAAGCAAAAGAGGAGACTCGGCTTAAAGCGAAGGCCAGGAGGCGATCTTGGGTACGCTTCCTCGGGAGTAAGCTCGACGGAGACTTGCTCCCCGGCAGAGGCCCCTTAAGGATCGGGCTGCGCGGCCGCCGTCCTAGGAGGAGACCCTTCCGGAAAGCAAGGGAGAGATTCTGAACAGTGTTCCCTCCAAGATGAGTTAGTGTGGGGTAGCTCACAGGGTTTCAGCCTCCGGCTCACACATTTTTGCCTTCGCTCAGGAAGGAGGGCTCCAGACGAAGTGTTCCCTCTAAGCTGAGTTAGTGTGAGCTAGATCACAGTTTTTTTAGCCTCTGGCTCACACACATGTTTGTCTCAGCTCAGGAAGGAGGGCTCCAGAGCAAACTCATTTATGCAGTTGCCAAATTGCTCACTCACAACTTTCATGCCAGTAGCTCACAAAGTGGAATTTTTGCTCACAAGACTCCACAGCTTAGAGGGAGCACTGACAGGTCGACGCAGAAGCAAGTCCCATTTTCATTCATGGGGACAGTGCTTTTGAAGGACTGCAGCGTCAATTCCCTTGAATGGCGGAGCTCATTCCCGAGTAAAAGAGTCCAGGATCCAACTGTGTGACTGGCCAGGGTTACTTGGGAGTAAGTCATGATGCCATTGTGGGCTAATTCTTCCTTGTACTGGTAGTCTTACTTCCTAGGGTAGGTGCATCTAACTGGACCAAATGAACGAGTTCAAAAACTGAGCACAGAATGTGCCCAGGCAATTCCACAAGAGCAAGATCCGAGATACTTAATTCCAGTTGTTTTCTATCTGTCCACCAACAACCACTGTAGGCTCTTGGGGGGCAGAGATTTGTCCAACCGAAACAAAGGATGCCTTATATAACATTCACATCGAGGCATCCAAAACAAAGGATTGGGGTCTCTGTTCCCAAGGCGAGGAGGGAGAAAGAGAGAAGGCAGAGGAGGAGAGATAGAATTAAGGACCACCGATATAAAATGCAGCCACATGGATGTTATTCATTGTTTTATGAAATGGGTACTGAAGAGAACGGATCGCCTCAAACTGGTTGCATGTGAACCGAGAATTAAGAACTATTTCTTAATTCACTGCCTATTTCTTAATATCACTGCCACAGGAAGTGGTGGCAGCTACAAGGATGGACGGCTTCAAAAGGGAATTAGATAAGCATATGGAGCTATTAGTCACAAGGTATAGATAGGGGCTCTGGGGCAAGTGATGCTCTGTCTTCTTGGTGCTTGGGGGGGGGGACAACAGTGGGAGGGCTTCTAATGTCCTGGCCCCACTGGTGGAACTCCTGATGGCACAGGTATTTCTGGCCACTGTGTGATGCAGAGTGTTTGGCTGGATGGGCCTTTGGCCTGATCCAACATTGGTGTCTCTTATGTTCTTATGTCCCCATGTAGACCCTTTGTGTCCACATAAATAAATTCAGTCAGGTCAGCCTGCTTGGTTTAGTGGTTAAGAGCAGCAGCCTCTAATCTGGAGAACTGGGCTTGATTCCCCACTCCTCCACATGAAACTGCTGGGTGACTTTGGGTCAGTCACAGTTCTCTTTACTACAAATTGGTTATATTTGTTGTTGTTGTTTTCTGGGCTTTTGGAGCTTTCCTGGTTGTCTCAGAGGCAGAAATATAGTGGACCAAGCTTTTTCCCAGCCCTGTTCCAGAGTTCAGAACAGAGCAAAGTGTTCAATCCAGATGAATGACTCCGTAGTTTTTTAAAAAGTGTGAGCTGGTGAATGTGATGTCATTCTCATTAGTGGTTATAGATCTCTTCCCAGGCCATGGCTCAGCAGTAGAGCATCTGCTTGGTGTGCAGAAGATCCTAAATTCAATCCCTGATACATCCAGTTAAAAAGGAACAGGTAGAAGGTGGTGTCAAAGACCTCTGCCTGAGACCCTGGAGAGCAGCTGCCAGTTGGGTAGACAATATTAACCGTAAGGGACCAAGGGTCCAATTCAGTCAGTATAAGGCAGTTTCGTATGTTCCTGTGTTCTCTTCCCCACTCCAAACAACTGAGATGATTAGGGAGTTGGAGCAACTTTTCCATGAGGAAAGGCTAAAGGGTCTGGACCTTTTCAGGTGAGAAAAGAAATGACCAAGGGGGTTATCAACAGAAGTTGATAAAATGATGCACTGGGTGGATAGAGTTGACAAAGAGAAATGTTTCTCCTTCTCCCAAAATTCTAGAACTTGAGGGTGTCCAATGAAGCGAATGGGCAGTAAATTCAGGACAGACAAAACGGAATATGACTTTACACAGAGAGTGATTAAAATGTGGAATTCGCTGCCAGAGGATGTAGTGATGGCCACAGGAATCGACAGCTTTCAAAGGGGATTAGATAGATCCATGGAGGAGGAGAATATCGATGGCTACCAGGCATGGTGGCTGAGGGGAACCTCCACATTCAGAGGCACTAAGCCAAGAGGCAACGTCAGGGGAAGGCCTCGGCCTCTATGCCCTGTTGTTGGCCCTCCAGATGAACTGGTTGGCCACTGTGTGAGACAGGAGGCTGGACTAGATGGACTACTGGTCTGATCCAGCAGGACTCTTCTTATGTTCACACCTGGCTTTTCAGAATCGATGTTCAGGGGAAATAGGGCTACGTTCCTAACAGACTGATCTAGCAAACTGCCTTGTGTGCCTGCTTATGTAATACCACATTCTGCATTGTTTAACATGTCATGCCTAATACTTATGCTTTGTTTAGGTGACACCTCCATTTCAAATTCCTGCAACCCTAGACCTATTGCATTGCGTGTTAGATGCTATCATCCTACTGATTGCATTAATTGCATTTCCTCGGCCTCTATGCCCTGTTGCTGGCCCTCGAGAGGACAAGACGCTAGACTAGATGGACTATTGGTCTGATCCAGTATGACTCTTCTTATGTTATTCCCAAGGTGGGAAGGGCCCCTTCTGTGACCCTTAATCTCTTTGCCATTTGCTTTCCAGAACTCCCAGTATGAGATCAAAGAAGGCACCTCAACTTTACATCCGGGGATTCCTCAGCCCGCCACTGCGTATTACACCTACGAACATTCCTTGGGGCAGTACCAATATGACAGGTAATGCATACCTTGAGCAGGTGGGCTTGGCAGGTGGCTTCGACCAACACTGCTGTATCCAGCTTCTGGTATTATCTCACCCCGCTTGCCTCAGGTAATCCCTCAAGGGAATGTATTATGCCTGCAATCAATGTTCCCTCTAAGCTGTGGAGTCTTGTGAGCAACTGGCTTTAAAGTTGCGAGCAAGCAATTTGGCTACTGCATAAATTAGTTTGCTCTGGAGCCCTCCTTCCTGAGCTGAGACAAAAATGTGTGAGCCGGAGGCTAAAAAACTGTGAGCTGGCTCACACTCACTCAGCTTAGAGGGAACACTGCCTGCAATGCTAGGTGGCCTTGCATCGGAGTAAATCCCACTGACTTTGGCGGAACTAGTTTTTGAGTAAATGTTCAGAGGAATGGGGGAGGGAACCAGAGTGACAGGCTGCATTTTTATTCATATGCGCTGGACAATGCTCCCTCTAAGCTGCGGAGTCCTGTGAGCAAAAATTCTACTTTGTGAGCTACTGGCATTAAAGCTGTGAATGAGTGATTTGGCCACTGCAGAAATCAGTTTGCTCTGGAGCCATCCTTCCTGAGCTAAGACAAAAAATCTGTGAGCCGGAGGCTACAAAACTGTGAGCTAGCTCACACTACCTCAGCTTAGAGGGAACACTGGTGGGGGATCTCATTCTGTTCAGTGGGACTGAGGGCACGGCAAGATGCCTTAAACAATTGCCCCCCCCCCATCCCTGAAATATTTGCTTATGGTGCCCATAATAATGACAATTAAATACTGCTTGCTGTGTTTATGAGTTTGTTTCAAATCCTTGCAAAAGCCCTTTAAGTTGATTAACGTCATTCTGCATTACGATTCTCTGGTTACGGGCTGGTTTTATTTTAATTTGTTTCATTTTCTTGCTGCGTCTGTTTTGTTTCATTTATTTCTGCGCGTTTCTCCCCAATGGTGACTAGCATCATTTTCCTTTCCTCTGGTTTATCCTCACAACCACCCCATTGGACTGAAGGTGTGTGACTGGCCGTAGGTCACCCAGGAAGCTTCCATGGCATGAATGGGGATTTGAACCCAGCTCCATGTCCAACATTTTAACCACTAGACTATACAGTCTGAGTTCCTTGCCTGAGGTCACCTTGTGCTTACAAAATTTAGCAGTGATATAGGAACAGTATAAAACTTATAATAAACATGGTAATAAAGCTGGAATGCAGATAACACTTGCAATAAAAGCATTATAAAATGTGATGTACGGAATGCATAACCTGGATTACAGGAATTGGTAAACTATGCAGTAAAAACAAGAAATGCATGTAATTATGTAGTGAAATAATTGATGCATGAATTATTATTATTACTACTAATAATATTAATAATAATATCCTGAATCTCAGGATCATTTTCTTGTTTGGTCAGTCAGTTTATTGTGTTAGCTTCCAGCCATAGCAATCATGGCGGTGGGGGGAGTACAAGATGACATAAAATTATAAATAACGATTAAAATCTAAATATCCTTTAAAACGAATAGCTATAAACTACCGATACTATCCAACTATACATACCTAAAACACATCATACAAATTATTATTGGATATCATTTATCTATTATTAATCATATCTAGCCAGATTTTCCTCCTGTGAATGGCCACCCACCCATATTTTGCCACACTGAGGGTAATTTCTCTATTCCTACCGGCTACCATTATTGTTAAACAGAAGACTTCTTCATGTTAGTGGTTGTAATCTGGAGAGCTAAAAGCCTTGACCAGATGTATCTCTCAGCTCATCTGTTTTGATCTCCATTCCTGCCAGGTATGGAACCGTGGATTTCAGCAGCTCGGCCAGGCGCAAGAACGCCACCAGAGAGACCACCAGCACCCTCAAGACGTGGCTGTATGAACATCGGAAGAACCCCTACCCTACCAAAGGCGAGAAGATCATGCTGGCCATCATCACCAAAATGACCCTGACCCAAGTCTCAACTTGGTTTGCCAACGCCAGGAGAAGGCTCAAGAAAGAGAACAAGATGACCTGGTCTCCAAAGAACAAAGCGGGAGAAGAGAGGAGAGAGGAGGACAGGAGGAATGGGGATGACTGTAGCAGTGAAAATGAAGACAAAGGTAGGAACGGGTCTGTCTGCCTGTCTGTATTGCATGTAAGAACAGGGCTATTTTTGGGCAGGAACGCACAGGAACGGAGTTCCGGCTGGCTCCTGAGTTGGCCACGCCCAGCAGGAACTCATTAGCATAATAGGCCACACCCAACAGCAGAAACTCATTAGGATTGGCTACATTAGGGGTGTGTGGCCTAACATGCAAAGGAGTTCCTGCAACAACAAAAGCCCTGGGTTTTGACAACAAACAAGGTAAACAGAATCATAAGCAAAAGGTGGGTGTGGCTGGGTGACCACACTTCTGGTAACATGGGGGTGCGGCCTAATGTGCTAATGAGCGGTGCTGTCAGGGGTGTGGCCTAATATGCTAATGAGTTTCTGCTGTTGGGTGTGACCTATTATGCTAATGAGTTCCTGCTGGGCGTGCATCTGCTGACACTGCTGGGCTTTTTCAGATCAGTTCTGAAAGAAGTCTCTGGTTAATTTGTCCCAGGCACTGAGTTTCATTCCAAAAGTATCCTGCATCTGAATGTGGAGGTTCTCTCCTTGACTATTAGGGCATAGTCCTTTCCCCAGCTGTAAAATGGGGAAAAATAAATAGAAGAGGCGAGAGAAGAGACTGGATTTATACATTTATACCCCGCCTTTCACTCAGAGTCTCAGAGCGGCTTACAAACTCCTTTCCTTTCCCCTCCCCACAACAGACACCCTGTGAGATAGGTGGGGCTGAGAAAACTCTGACACAAACTGCTCTTTTTCAAGAACAGCTCTCATCAGAACTAGGGCTTGCCCAAGGTCATCCAGCAGCTGCGAGTGGAGGAGTGGGGAATCAAACCCACTTCTCCCAGAGTAGAGTCCGCGCACTTAACTTAACCTCTGCTCCATATGTTTACCCAGGGGTCATTTCATAGAAAAAGAGGTGCAGGAGCTCATTAGCATAACTTATTTGCATATGCCACACCCCCTGACATCACCGGAAGTGTGTCAGAAGGCAACACCCACCGCCTAGGCTCCACTGGGCTGTTTTGGATTGCTAGCTATTGAGGAGGGGGGGGCGTGCAGATCTGTCCTCGCAGAGGAGGGAAAGCTTGTACCTGAATAAAACTTGGCCTTAAAGGTGCCACTGGACTGTTTTGGACCAGGGGGCCGGGGGGAGCTCTGCAACTTACCTGGCTGCTTCTTGCTCTGACTGAAGGCTGCTGGGAGCAGGGGGTGGGGCTTGTTGCATGTGCCCGCCCTCTGGGCTCCTTACTGCCGGAGCTCCGCTCCTGTGCGCTCCTGCAGGAAATGACCCCTGACCCTACAAATCTTGTTCTCGAAGGTGTTATTGGACCCGAATCGAGCTGTTGTACTGTAGACCAACAAAGATACCCTCTGAAACAAAAGATAAGAACCTCCGGTGACGCAGCTTCGGGGGCGGCGTTCCCCCCGGGGCCCGATTCTGCCGCGGCAGAAATCGGGCCTCCGAAGCGGGGGATTCCCCGCCCCCCGGCCCCATTTGGCAACCCTACTTGAAGACCAACAAGGATTTATTCAAGGTCTGAGCTTCCGTGTGCATGCACACTTTTTCAAATAGATTGGAACGGAAGGTGAGGTTCAAACTTATAGACAGGGGCTGAAGAGCAAATTAACAGCAAATTAACCTGAACGCGGTACCCCTCTCATTGACCACAATGTGATGTACAATAGGGAGTGAGCATATTAGTTGCGATGGATCCTGGGAGTTGTCCACTGTGTTTAAACTGTTTTAACCGTATTTTATTGCACTGCGTGCCTTAATTGTTTTTAACTTGTGGTGTTGTATTACACCTCTGTGTTTTGTAAGCTACCCTGAGCCCATGTGCGGGGAGGGCGGGGTATAAATGAAATAGAATAAATAAATAAACATGTAACACGATGTAGATTTTTTAAAAGATATGCAAAGACAAAACTAAATAACAAGCTAAGATTATAAGGTCAACAGCTGCAAAGCAATAAATATGTCAAAAGAAGACGGGGACTCTCCATTCACTCCTCTCAGGCATTTTGCATGTTATCTAATAACTGGCCCCATTCACACAGCGAATTTGCTGTGGGAGAGCCACGATTGGATGGCGGATTTTCCGGGCGCGATCACACCACGACATCTGGCTGGAGTCCACCCGTGGCCAACCCGCGGCATGCTGCTGAAAATGCACGCTATAAAAAAACCTCCTTGAAGATAGTAGCAAATGGTTTGCCACGGGCTGCCTCTGGACTCCCTTGGTGTGATCCACACCATCGTGGCTTTTCCCTCCGGCCGTCTTCGTTGCAGCGCAGACACCGAGGGCTGGAACTGTGGGTTGCTGCCGACACGTCTGATCGCGTTATCGTGCGGCTAATTGCGGCACCGCAAATAGCCACGCCCCCCCATTTTCCGGCACATGTGACCGGGGCCCTTAATACTTTTGCATGTGATCTAATAATAATTAAATGCTGTCAAATTATAATTGATTTATTGTGACCTCTCATGGAGTTTTCAAGGCCAGAGGTAAGCAGAGGTGGTTTGCTATTGCCTTCCTCAGCACAGCAACCGCGGTCTTCCTTCGTGGTGGTCTCCCCTCCAAGCAGGGCTCTTTTTGTATAAAAAGCCCAGCAGGAACTCATTAGCATAATAGGCCACACCCAACAGCAGGGACGCATTAGCATATCGGGCCACACCCCTGACAGAGCAGCACATTAGGCCGCACCCCCATGTTACCAGAAGTGTGGTCATCCAGCCACACCCACCTTTTGCTTCTTATTCTGTTTGCCTTGTTTGTTGTCAAAACCAGGGCTTTTTTGTAGCAGGAACTCCTTTGCATGTTAGGCCACAGACCCCTAATGTAGCCAATTCTAATGAGTTTCTGCTGTTGGGTGTGGCCTATTATGCTAATGAGTTCCTGCTGGGCGTGGCCAACTTGGGAGCCAGCCGGAACTCCGTTCCTGCCCCAAAATAGCCCTGGTCCTCCAAGTATTGACCGTGGCCACCCCTGCTTACCTTCCAATCTCTGATAGGCTAGTCAAGGCTATTCCCAATGCTGTGTGTGGTCTACCGAAGTTCAGTTTGCATCGAAGTGACTTCTCGCTTTCCTCCTCCCACCCACTCTCTGTTCTGAACACACAGATCCTAAAAGCTGCAAAGAAGAAAAGGAGCTAAGGCTGAGCGATCTGGAGGACCTGGATGATGAGGAACCGGAGACCAAGGCCGAAGCTGAGCCCAAGCATCCCCATCAAGAACGGCCTGTCATGGTCAGCAGCGCCTTGGCCGAGTGTGAGAAAAACAACTGCGGCTTGACTCCGCCCAGCCATTTCCGTGTCTTTTCTTGCACCAAGAGCGATTTGCCAACGTCAGGGGACTTCCTGAGCCACAAGGGGGCTACCTTAGCAAGCAGCCTTGGAGGCCATAGCCAACCCTACGAAACTCCAGAGAAGCCCAGGATTTGGTCACTAGCCCATACGGCGGGCGCCAATGTGATTGTGGGACCTGCGGTCAACTCTGGTCCGAGGACAGAAAGCCCAGATTGTTTAGTGCTCAGGGGGAGGCTCCCTGGGGCCGGAGGACAATGCGGCGAGGAGAAGACCCTGGGTGGCCTGGTGAGAACGCAACCCATTCATGACAAGGCCCTGGAGGAGTTGAGCCAACCGACCAAACTCTTTAGGAATTCCACTTTCAACTTGCAGTCCATCTCCCTAAACTGTGCTTCCTACCCCATGCTGGGGGAGACCTGCCAATACTCAGCCGGAGCTGAAGGTAGCTATCGTCTTGGCCTATTTCCCTTCCTCCCCTACCCGGAAGCAATGCTTGGATGGTGATCTTGTGTGGCATCAGAAAGCCTGATGGAGCCACTGCCCGGGAACACTTTAATTTACTGCTATGTTTTTTGATGGTGTCAAGTCATTTAGAAGTCCCCCTCGCAAGAGGCAGAGAATCCCTGTCGAGCATGCACTATAGTTAACGGTGTGCTATAGTTATAAAGTTGCCTGGGGAATGGAGAGAAAGCACATTATCTGCCCCAGGTCCTGGTCAGTACGGTGGGAAGGGGACGGCGGTGGGAGTTGGCAGCCAGGGGTCTCGCTGAAGGTAGTCATAGCCAAATATCCTAGCCACAGGAAAGATACAGAAGAAAACCATAACATTGCGCAGAAACCCCTAGAGATCCGCATTGCAACCAATGCTGTCTCTAAGTTTGGAGCCAGTTTGGTGTAGTGGTTAAGTGCGCGGACTCTAATCTGGGAGAACCGGGTTTGATTTCCCACTCCACCTGCTGATGTGACCTTGGGCAAGCCATAGTTCTGGCACTGTTGTTCTTGAAAAAGAGCAGTTTCTGTCAGAGTTCTCTCAGCCCCACCCACCTCACAGGGTGTCTGTTGTGGGGAGGGGAAGGGAAAGGAGTTTGTAAGCCGCTCTGAGACTTCAAGTGAAGGGCGGGGTATAAATCCAATCTCTTCTCCCTTCTTCTCTTCTTAAGCTGTGGAGTCTTGTGAGCTGAAATTCTACTTTGTGAGCTACTGGCATTAAAGTTGTGAGTGAGCAATTTGGCTGCTGCATACATTAGTTTGCTCTGGAGCCCTCCTTCCTG